CCCACTTCTGCCCTGGTGCAGCAGCCTTGCGCAGGACGCGCCGCGTCTTTGCTGGGACACGGGCCGTTGTACCACGGTCCATTGTGCACATGAGAAGCCGAGGCTCCGGGAAGCAGGCGGCCAGTGTCAGCCCGTCTGTCCCTCAGGCCCCTCACTCACTCCTGCAGCAGGCATGTGTGGACCGGACGGTGACACGCTGCCAGCCCCACAAGCGGCCGACAGCCACGCCGCATTTGGCTGCAATAGCCTCCCTCCCAGCCTCCTCTCCACCGAGTCAAGGGCTGCCGGGTGGAGCTCAACCCCAATCCCGCCCGCCACCCACCGCTGTTCCTGGCTGCACGGACTCCTCTTTCCTTGGGTCAGCCTCAGATGCGCCCCGGGCGTGCCCCTTGCTGTCCTGCAGGGAGGCCCGCTCCTGAAAGATGGAGAAGCCAGGGTACCTGTGGGAAGCAGGGCATCGGGCGTCCCCTTCTGGGTTCCCACATGCCCCAGCTTGGCGCTGGGCTGACCTGGAGTTCTGGGACATGGTTGATGACGTCCTATCAGCCGTGCTGTGGCTGTGTGGCTTTTCCGAGTGCTGCCCGTCCATGTTGGGGTGCGGTTTGGAGAACCCACAGGCCCCAGCCTCCAGCTCTGTCCTCATGCCCGGTGGGGCAGCCCTATCTCTGTGTCTCCCCTTCCCCCACCCCAGCGGGCCCTGACCTAACCCCTGAGGTCACAATGGTTCCAGTGCTCTGGGCCGTTTCCCAGGGCCAGTGCTGTGGAACTGGACACTGTCCTGGGCACAGTACATGTGTGTTCCTGATGTGGCCTTGGGCTCAGCCCTTCTGTCTCTGGCTTGTGAGGAACCCTGAGACCAAAGACCCAGCTAACCCAAGCCTGGATTCCTGACCTAAGAAACTGTGAGATAGTAAATGTGTGTTGTTTTAAGCCGCTAAGTTTTGGGGTCATTTGTTACGCAGCACCAGATATCTGATACATGCTCGGTACCAGGGAAAAGTGGCAGAATTAGGTTCTTTATGAGCTCCCTTTCCACAGGGCCATAGTCCAGATGCAAGGCTGCAGAGAAAGCGGGTCCCAGCATGGCCCCTTGTCCCCATACTTGGATGTTGGAGGCCTTACAGGTGGGGTTTGTGAGTGGGGGGCTGAGGGTGAGGGTGTTGCAGGGACAAGGGAGTGCTGGGGCCGGGACCCGCTGCTGGGCCAGCTACCTGCAGCTCCATGAGCATCTCCCTCTGCCCAGCCAGGCTCTAGGCTTCCAGCACCTGCGGCCACACTGTGTAGTCAGCCCTGCCTTCTGGAAACAGCCATGTGTCTCATAGACAACAGACAACCACTGCTCACCCCCGAGGCTTGGGGGCCCCCGGGGTTCAAACTCCAGCTTTGGTACTGCTGGCTGGATGACCTCTCTGAAGCCGTGATCTCTTTCTAAACGGGGGCTGGCAATACCCGCCTTCCCCCAGGTGGTTCTGACATTCAACCGCCTTTTCTGTGAGCGGTGCTTGGTGCAGGACAGGTGCCCAACACGGCCTAGCTGCTGGGCATCGTGGGCGCCTTCGCTGGGTCTGCCTGGGGTTAAACCTCACGCTGCTCCCATGGGATGGGTGTCTGGATTCTCAGCAGGTGGTAGGGGAGGAGACAGGCTGGCAGAGGGCGAGGTGAGTTAGGACGATGGTAGGTTTATCGAGGCCTCCGCAGGTCCCCGGCGCTCTCTGAGCTTGTCACCTGGAGTCCTGTACCAGACCACAAGCCCAGGTGGTGGGAGCTGTGATTCTCCCCAGGGCTCAGAGGTGAAGCCACTCCTGGGGTCGCTCTGAAATGGAAGGGTCTGCATGTACCCTGGTTTGCCTGGAAACCCTGAGCTCGAGTTCCTCCGACCCAGTGTGCCGAAGGGGACTGCTACGAACTGGGCCCATACACTCATTTGTGGAGGAGGGTCCCCAGAAAGGCGGATCCTGCTAAGCTGCCAGAACAGGCTTTTGGGGGGAGCGCCCCTTCTCTGAGACTCGTCCTCCGATGCCTCTGGGGCATGTCCCGGGAACTCTTCTGCTTAGTGGCCTTGGTCAGGGGTGTGCTGGAGTGGCCCCAAAATGGCTCTCATGACTATTGTTAAATTTTCAGGAATGTGGAGAGTTGGTTGTTAAATACAGCCATAGAAGCTCATAGTTAAATGCATTATATTAAAAACAGGTAATAAATACCCCAAACTCATCACTTCCTGATTATTGGACTAGATTTCACTGTGCCCTAGGGGTTATTTGCAGCTAAGGACCTATCTGTGGGGAGTCACCCCGCACCTCTGCCCACTCGGGGCACACTGCAGCCACCCTGGTAGTGGGAGATCAGCCGCGGTGCAGGGACTTCCACCACGGACACACACAATGCCTCGAGCAGGACCCTTGTTTTTCTTCAGAGAGCTCCTTTTCAGATATTTGCCAGGCTGATTGGGCAAGATGGTCCAACCAGTCTCTCTTCCACTTGGGAATTTGAAATTGGGGCCAAGAGTGAGACCTTGGGGTTGGGAGGGGGGCCCCCGAGGACTGCCCATCCCCCCTTTAGGGGTCCAGGCAGAAGGGAGGAGACAGAGGAGGGGACAAGCCTGGGGGCCTCGCAGGTTCTGGCCCTGACCTTCCCAGGGCCCCTTGGGCCTTTTGGGTTCCTGCAAGGCCCTGATCAATGAATGGCGAGGCAGGTTTTCTGCAACCTCGTTTCTGGGGGAGAACTTCCGGCAAGTCCTGGCCAAGTAACATGAAGGAGCTCTTCAGAGGTGGCGCACTCCTGTCTCTGCAGGCTTCGGGGGAGGCTGGATGTCCAGGGAATTCGAACATCACACCTGGGTGGGTGGGAGTGGACGAGCCTCCTCTGCGGACCCGCCTCCGCCCCAGGGGACACGGGGAGGGTCACCGACTGAGACCTGGGTGCTGGCATTTGTCCATCTCTCCCCACCCCCGCCTCACCATGAAAATGGCAAGATGTCAGGGTTGAACCACCCCTGGCTGGGTCATGCCACGTGCCCGTCTCCCCCCAGCCTGCCAGGAATTAGGGAGCCCCATCCGCACCAGAGACACCGCCTCTGCTGGACGTGGGCTCCCAGCCTCCTGGCTGCCTCTCATAGTTGGGTGTGCTCACCACCCTGGATTGGGATGGAGCTCAGTGAGGGTGGGAACCAGGCCGGAGGTCACACATTGGTCAGAGGTGGAGCCCCTCACTCCATCCCGGCGTGCGGAGGAGGCCTGCTGACCCTCTCGCCCCTCCTCCCCCCTCCTCCTCCCGCCTCCCCCTCTTCCTCCCTCCTCCCCAGCATAGGAAGCAGGCAGGCGGGGCCTGGGGTAGGCGCCCGCCTGTGCCTCGCCACGTGGCCGGCAGATGGCGCTGCGGGCCCAGGCAGGTCCGGGCAGCGGCGTCCCTGCCGCTCTCCCCACCCAGCAGCCCTCCCAGCCCAGAAGGCGTTTGGGGAGGGGACCCTGGGCAACCTACGGGTGCTGACACCACTACCCACCTGGAGGCGCCAGCTCGCTTCCGCCTCCGCGCCTCTGCAGGGCTCCCTCCAGCTCCACTCCTGCCGGGGACCACACCAGGGGACGCTGTTCCTGCCCCAGAGAGGAGGGGGCTCACCCGGGGCTGACAGCCCAGCCCCTGCCCTGCTGCCCAGGCCCCGCCCCTCTGCCCCCACCCCCTCCCTGCTCCCAGCTGCAGCCAGGTCAGCCTCTGAGGCTTTATGCGATGCCTTCCCCTGGAATGCCCTTGACAAAGATTCTCTGCTTGGTCAGGCTCTGGAACCTTCTCCTGGGCCCATCTGTGCCCTCTGGTGACATCCAGTTTTAGGAAGAATCCTTCACTCTCCACCCCCCACAGCCCTCCACATCTGATCAGTTTCCTCATCCCTCCCACACTGGACCCCAGAGTGACCCCAGAGCGCTGGTCCCTGCACCTGTTGTGATGGGAACAAATCCATCTCACCCTCTTCAACAAGTGTTCTGAATAATTTTTTTTAACACCCAATCCCTCCCCACCACACCCCTGCTTTCCTGAAGAAACCTCTTGCACGCCCCTATTTGCCCTCAGAAGCCTCCCACCCCAGCCCAGGTCACCTCCTCTGTGAGGCCACCCCTGCTTTCCCTGGGCTCCCTGCTGAGGTTGCTTCAACATGAGCTCATCTGGGCGCCTCTGGGAGGTGGGATGGGGGAGGCTGGGGTACTGACAGCAGGTGCCAGGCAGACAAGTTTCCCTCCAGAGGACCCTCCCCCAGGAGCACAATGGCCCCATCTGACCACCTGACCCCCTCTCAGGATGTTTAAACCCATTGAGCACAAGGGGTCCAGCCTCAAGTGGCTTCGAGTGCTGGGCTGGGATCCCAGGACCAGGCTCTAGGTCTTCTCGCGGCTTCTCTTCCTCTGGGCCTTGGGCTCTGTGGCTCCAATTCTTGCTCCAGAACTTTCTGGATCAGGGAGTTACTCTCTTCCCTGAGAGCGCCCCCCTACAGGCGCCTGTGTTTCCCGGCCCTTGGGGTCAGTTGGGTGCTGCCAGCCCACCCAGGGTCACTCTGCTCTGCCCACGCATGCTGGCACCCTCTCTGTCCTCCACCACCTGTCACGGCTCCTGATGGCCAGGCTCTTGGGAGAGCCCCCTGTGGGCCCTTGGCTCATCACCATGGTCTCCACCAGACCCTGTGCCCCATGAAGGTGGAGACCCGTTCTCCCTGCTGAGCTCCAGCACTTAGTAGGTGCCCGTAACATGCCTGCCGGGTGAAAGCAGCGGATGGGCTCCTCTGTGGAGGCTGCCCCGGAGGGTCCCGCTCCTTGAGTCGGCAGAGGCCCCAGGTCCCTGCAGGTGCGCTGCCCGGGACACACCCTGTCTTCCAGGGTCCGCTCCTCTTTCCACACTCCTCTCTGAATCTTTCACAGAAAAAAGTGGGGAAAGGTTTTCTCCTCCACTTTCTGAAAATGAGATTTTAAAAATAACTCGGAGGCAGTGACAGCGCCAGGAGGGGATTATCTGGGGGTTCAAGCTGCGCCGGGCAAGTCCCGCAGGGTCTGCTTGCCTCTCCCCGCACTGCTCGCTCCCCTGGACACCCTGGCTGGCTTGTCAAGGAGACAGGCACCTGCATCTCTAGTGACGGGGAGGCAGAGAAGGGAAGACATGCAGCAGGAGCCCTGCTGAGAAGGGAGGTGGCCGAGATGGTGGTGGAAGGAACACTTGGGCTGTGACTCCCAGCTGGAGAAGGGGACTGGCCCCTATTGGTCCCCCAGTCTCCTTGGTGCTCTCCCTTCTCCAGTGAGCTCACTGCTCACCAGCCACGGCCTCCTGGGCTAGTTCTTGTTCCTCAAACGCTGTGTCTTTCCTGCCACAGGGCCTTTGCATATGCAAAGGGTTTCTCAGACCCTCCTTCTCTCCCTTTCACATGACATACTGTCCTTCCTTAACCTCAGCCTCAATGTTATTTCCCCCAAGAAGCTGTCTTGGACCACAAAATAGTACATGGGGTGTCCCCACAGCCCCTGCCTCTGCCCCAGCTCCCTGACAGTTTCCTTCTCTAGCCTTATCACAATGGATAATTCTTTTATTTACTGACTTAACTTGTCTTTTTTTAAAAAAATATTTTATTTATTTATTTGAGAGAGAAAGACAGAAATAGCGAGAAAGAGCATGAGTGGAGAGGAGAGGGAGAAGCAGGCTCCCCACTAAGCAGGGAGCCCGATGCCAGACTCCATCCCAGGACCCCGGGATCATGACCTGAGCCGAAGGCAGACACTTCACCAACTGAGCCACCCAGGCGCCCCCTTAACTTGCCTTTTATCTATCTCTCCAACTAGACTGCAAGCTTCCTGAAGGTGGGGACCGGGGAGCAGAGGACACTGTTTCCCCACCCGTGTCACCGGCCATTTCCTCTTGCTGCGTTTCAATGCCAGCCTGTCTTCCTTGAGGGGGCTCTGAGGCCACTGGATGAGGTGCCAGGGCATCAGCTGGTGGGATGGAGCCTTGGTGGCTCCGGAGAGAACCACTTGCCTGGTAACAGCCCGGATCAGCCTCCTTCCATCCCCTACAGTGTGCCCCGGGATGGCTTCTCAAGTGACCTCTTATCCTCAAATGATTTGCCTTAAGGTCTGGTGGGCGGCTGAATAACAGTCCTCAAAGATGTCGATGTTCGAATCCCCGGAGCAGGGAATTGTTATCCTGTACAGCAAAGCAGGACTTTGGGGCTGGGATTAAGTCAGAGAGCTTCAGATGGGGAGATTATCCCAGATTTTCCGGGCGGTCCCTCAATGCAATCACACGGATCCTTCTGAGAGAGAGGCAGAGGGAGCTTTGATACGCAGAGAGAAGAGGAGGCCACGTGACCATGGAGGCAGAGAGTGGGGCGATGTGGCCGCAAACAAGGAATGCCAGCAATCCCCCAGAAGCCGGGAGAGGCGAGGAACAGGTTCTCCCTGGAGCCTTTGGAGGGAGTGCGGCCCTGCGGAACCCTTGATTCTGTCCCCGTGATACTGTTGGTGGTGATTGTCACAGTAGCCCTGGGGAACTAATACAGTGCTTGGGGGAGCCCGAGCTAAGACCCCCTGGGTCTGTCTGCATTCTTGCGGCAAGCTGGAAGCTGTCCCTCCAGATGCTGGCACCTGACGGCTCAGGTGTGGGCTACATATCCCAGCCTCCCCTGCAGCCAAGAGGGCCTGGGGACCCAACTGGCCCCTGGAATTAGAGCATCCAAGTGCAGTTTCTCCTCGTGTTCTTACAAGGAAGCTGCTGGCCCAGGACGGCCTCTGGCCCGTCTTCCGGGCTGGGATGCCATGGGGCGTGACCTCCGACCAGGGGCCACGCGTGAGGGGGTGGAGCCACAGCTGGGGGGAGCCCGCACCCCTGGGGTGTGGGGGGCTGTGGAGCCGAGCTGCCTGGAGGCCTGCCACAGACACTGCAGGAGGGACGGTGCTCCGTCTTCCTGAAGCTGCCGTGCCAGGGGCTCTTTGTCACCGCCGCTCCCCGGACTAATACACGCTGGCCGAGCGGCCACGGCGTGGCGGGTCCTGGTCCCCAGCGGTGCCCAGCGGTGCTCTGTAGAATGTCAGAAATGGCGGGCGCCTGGGTGGCTCAGATGGTTAAGCGTCTGCCTTCGGCTCAGGTCATGATCTCAGGGTCCTGGGATCGAGTCCCGCATTGGGCTCCCTGCTCCTTGGGAGCCTGCTTCTCCCTCTGCCTCTCTCTCTCTGTCTCTCATGAATAAATAAATAAAATCTTTAAGAAAAAAAAAAGAATGTCAGAAATGGCATTATTTTCTCCCATGCTGTGGATGGCTGAGCCACCCCCCAGCGCTGCTGCCTGCCCTGAGAGCTGGGGTTTGGTGGCCCATGCGGCTGGAGCACGGGATGATGGAAAACAGGCCCTGTCACGTGAAACACAGGCACCCACTTGCCCGTGGCTGATTCTCGGGCCTACGGCTGGCTGTGCTCTTGGTCCCGCGAGGACCGCGAGGGCTGGGCTCTCAGACTGCATGTCCAGCCCCGGGCCTGGTTTGACCAGGGGCTCAGGAGGCGCTGGTGGGTGGGAAGTGGCTTGTGCGGGAGGGGGTTACTGTGCCTCGTGCGGGGGCCCATCGGGCCCTGAGTTACTGTTTCTCGGGACCCCACCACGGCACTCAGGGCCTGGACGTCTGGGCTGGAGGCTGGACCCCGGGAACACTCGTCGGGGCTGGTGCTCATGTCGTGGAGCGCCCTGGCCCTGCGACACCGTGGGGGAGGGAGAACCTGCGCTCTGGGCCCACACTGGAGGGTGCACGGGGCGTGTGGTTCCTACTCTTGCAGCTTCAGGAATACGGGGACTCTCTGTTCCGTGTGCTGCCTGTCCTCTGTGCTAGTGAGTGTCAAACGCACTTGCACGGGCTTGCAGAGAAGAGCTGGGGGAGGGTTCCAGCCTTTGTCCCATCGGCTCAGGGACTGGAGGTTCTTCAACCGTGAGCTCCTGTCCCGAGGTCGTCAGGAAGCCAGTCCGCAGGGATGGGGGCTGTTCTTTGTGACCCTGTCGCATTTCCAGTTCCGTCACATTATATCATCCCTCCTCTATGGTACACTAATTTTTTTTTAAATAAAGATTTTATTTATGTATTTAGTTACTGGGAGTGAGAGAGCATGAGCGAGCGGGGGGAGGGGAGGGAGAGAGAAACTCAAGCGGACTCCCTGCTGAGCACAGGGAACCCGACACAGGGGTCCATCCCAGGACCCTGAGATCAGGACCTGAGCCAAAATCAAGAGTTGGACGCTTAACTGGCAGCCACCAAGGCACCCCCCCCTTACACTAATTTTTCCATTGAAGTGTGTAGGCTGCTTCAGCCCTGTTTTATGGATGGAGAAACTGAGGCCCAGGGAGGTAATGCGGTTTGCCCAGCCTGCAGTGAGCCTGTCTAGCTTAACCCAAGGTCTCTAACCAAGGAAGGCACAACCCCCACGTGACTTCCAGTGGGAGGGCCAGCTGGGCCTTGTGGGTCTCTGACGTGTACGGAACAGGCGGAGAGGGCTTCCTGGAGGAGGCAGCATGAGCTAGGGCCTGAAGGATGAGTGTGAGTTTGCGCTGTAGAGGAGGGGGCCAGGCTTCTGGAAGACGCCCTCTCCCCCCCAATCGCTGTGCGCTTCCAGCAGACAGTGGGTTGTGGTAACGCATGGCCCTGGGCATGTGGGACCTTCAGTGCACACAGGACAGTCTGAGCTGGGCATCCAGCCCTTTCCCGTCTTCCCCGAGGACAGACACTGGAGCCCCCTGGCAGGCCGCAGTGCTGGGGAAAACGCCCCCCAGGGTGAACCCCTGGAGGCTGGGGTGACTTCGAGGCTGTCCCCCAGCGGTCAGCACCCACTGCGCACATGTCATGAGCTACCTTCCTTTTGACGGCTCCTGTCCCCGCTCCCCCACTGGGCTTGGTCCACTTTGAGGGAACATGAACGCATCAGGTCCCCTGAGGCCAGGGGCCTGGTTTGACCCATTTCACGGGACTACTAGAGCTGCTGAAGACGGGGCTGCTGATGCGCAGCCCCTCGGACCCCGAATACTGGTGGGATGCCTGTGGGATGGATTTTGGGCTCTGTTGCCTTGTGAGCGTGCCCGATGGGGGTTGTGGACACGAGACTGAGCTGAGCGATCAGGGAAGAAGAGGCGTGGGGGCCTTGAACCTGGGTGGGTTAGGGGGGAGGGGCCCAGAGGTGTCTGAGTGCCAGGGTGGGGTCGGATGGTTCCTGAGCAGGGCCAGGTGAGCTGCAGGGGTGTGGGAGGAGGGGGCCGCCAACCCCCCTTTACTCTTCTCCCTCCCGGCCCCAGGCCACTTCCAGGTGGGGCCCCTTTAATTGCAAGGTTCTCTCCCCGCCAGAAGGCCCCTCCCCTGGTCTCCTGGGCAGCCAGGTAAACAAGCCTGATCCCCGGTTGCTGACATGGCTTCCCCTCTTTTGGGGGACCCCAGCCCAGCAGGTCTGCCCCCTCCTCCTGTAGCCACTCCAAGTAAGTCACATGGTGGGGGGAGGGGTGGAGGAGAAAGGGGTGTCCTTGGCATTTAGGGCTCTGAGAATGTGGGAGAGGAAGCTGCCATCCCACCCCCTCTTCCTGGGGGGGGAGCTCTGCCAAGGTCACGCAGCAGGTCAGGGCCGGGGGCGGGCACTGACCTCACCCCCTAACATTCCCTTCTTCCTGCTCTCCTCTAGGATCACTGCCCTGCAGCCCTCCCAGGGGTCCTGCAGCCCTTGGAGCCCTGAGCCTGGAGGGGCCAAGGGTTCTCCCCACTCCTTAGGCCCCTTCCAGATCATTCTCTGCCCCCCTCCCTCACTGCCTCCTTAAAACCCCAGTGCTGGATCCCAGGTCCTCAGAAGTACACACCCATTACCCCTCCTGGAGAGGGGCAGTCATCCACCCCCTTGAATTTGGGACTCTGGCCCTGACCCTCTCTCCATCTCTGTGGCTATGCTTTGTTGATTTCTTCCCTCACCCTGGCCCCTCAGTTCTCCAGACTCCTCTGGAGCATCTTGTCCCCCTTTCCCCAACCCCCACTTTCGCCCTTGTCATGCCCTTGGCCTTGTCAGCACCCGAACTACAGCCTGGCCTTGACCCCATTCTCCAGAGTCTCTCCCGAGCTCAGGCCCTCAGAGCAGGATTCCTGCCCTCCTGGGCGAGTCACAGTCCACTGTTTCCAGCACATTCTGCGTCCTTCCACCTGCCCTGCCTCCCTCGCTCCCTCCCTCCCTCTCTGCTCACCCAGTTCTGCCATGATCATCACACCCGCACACACACACACCCTCTTTCCCTGGGCCCTCTGTGTTTTATTGTACCAGCCTGGCAACCCCCCAGCTCCCCACCCACACCCCGCCTGCACCCATATACAGCTGAGCCGAGCTGGGGATAAACTCACCCGCTAATGCTCTTTAAATTCCTGACTGTGAGCCTGAGGGGCCTTGGTCTTTGCTGGCTCCCACTGCATCCCTCCCTCTGTCCGGTCTCTCTGGCTCCAAGCGCCACCCCCGCCCCCACTCTGCTGCTGGCCCTGCTCCCTCTTTGAAGACACTAAAGCCATCGGAGAAGGACTCCCACAGGTCCCCAGCACCACAGGCACCTGGCCGCCTGTGCCCACGGCTCTGTCCACCCAGTCCCTGCTCTCAGCAAGCCAGGGAGACGAGGAGGAGGAGCAGGGCCAGCAAGGCCGACATTCCTGCCTGCTCAGGGCCATCCCCCACCCTCTCTCTCCAGTAGCATGACATCCTCTCTCCTTGCTAGATCTTTCCAGCAACATAAAAGCTGCTGTTGTACCCTGTCTCTTGACCCCACTTCCCTTTCAGCTACCATCCTGTTTCTCTGCTCCCCATTTATAGCAAAACTCCTCACAAAGGTTAGTTTTACTTGCTGCTTCCCCGTCTCCCCTCCCACTCACTCGAGAGCCCACTGGAACCTGCCCTTCCTTCCCCGCACTTCACTAAAGCAGGTCTGCTCAAGGTCACCGACAACCTCCTGCTTGCCAGACGGGGGGTCAGCTCTGAGGCCTCGTCTGATGGGACTTATCAGCATCTCTGGGCTGAGCAGCGCCCCTCCTCCTCGCCTGGCCTCCAGAGCCCCACGCTAGGCTTGCTCGCGCTCCTGGTTTCCTCCCGCATCACTGCCTATTCCTCCTCCTCTCCCTGGTCTATTGATAGCGGGGGCCCCAGGCCCTTCTCTGTTCATGTTCTGGCCCAGCGGCCTCATTCAGCTCCATCTCCCAGGTGTGTAGAGCTCCAGCCTGGAGCCTTTGCCCCAACTCCAGACTCAAAGCTGGCTGTCCTCTACACCTCTTCCCTGGCCCATCTAGAGGCCACCACTACCTGCCCCAAATTAGACTCTTGACTCCCCACCCCATTCTGCTCCTCTCTCAGCCACCCTGAGAGCCACCTCCTCCTTTCCTCCAGCTGCTAGGGTCCAGCGTCTTCCCCTTTTCTCCCCTCCCCTCCCCCACCCTTTCCATCAACAAATCCAGTCCTTCCATCCTCAAGACATATTCACAATCTGAGCGCTTTCCACCGCAGCTGTGGTCATGCCACCAGCCCCTCACCCGAATTACTGCCCTGGCTTCCTCATGGTCCCCTTGCTGCTACCCTTACCACCTCACCTGTCTGCACCACAACGATCAGCTCACCTGGCCAAATGCAAGGCAGAAGGTGGCACTCCTCTCATGTGGCCAGGGCCCTCCCCTCTCCTCTCCCGGGGTGGCATCCAGAACTCCTCTCTTCTATGCAGCTTTCTTTCATCCCCAACTCACGGCAACACCCCACAGCCCTGCGCCACCCACTGGCACTGAAACCCAGCCGCTCTCCCAAGAAGCCTGCAGGGCAGGCAGACTGCAGGATGAAGACAGGACCCTTCAGCCCAGTGGTGGGAGGCCCCTGCCAAGGCCACCTTGGAGCTGTCCATGGTGCTGAGCACAAAGGCTCCCTGAACTGGCCCCTTTGGCCATGTCCACGGCCCTGCTCAGAGCCACGTCCACCCCCTCTACCACCTGGGGATTGGTGGCTCTGCTACATCCACGGGGCTGAGCTAGGAAATCACTCTCCAGTGACAAAGTAGGTTCCTCAATGCCATCTCATTGAACAGGCTTGATTGTTCCCAATTTTTAAAGGGGGAAACTGAGGCACAGGAAAGTTGATGTGCCCCCAGGGGAGGGTGTCCAACAGACACAGAACCAATTCACCTCCCAACCTGACTCCTCTATCCCCTGGGGCTGCTTGCTCCTCCCCCTGGGTCCCAGGATCGCTATGCCAGGCTGGGAACCTGTTGTCACCCCCCGGTTCCTCCCCACCTCCATCCTCAAGGCCTGGCATCTGGCCTCTCGGTCTCCTCCCAGCTAAGTACTTCTCCTGGCGGTGTCCTTACCTCATCCTCACTGGGCCCTGATCCGACCTCCAGGCTGGGCTCCCATAGTCCATTTTCTGCACAGCCTAGGATCAATTTTCAACCGAGAGTGACCACATCACCCCCTTCCCCAACCGCTGCTGTGAGCTGAGCCCAGGGTCCAGAGCTTGTTCAGGAGGCCCTGAAAAACTCCCCAGGCTCCTCCCTGTCTGGAACTTTCCGCCCAAGCAGTACTGAGTGGCCTACTCTTGTGGGCAGCCTTTGGCGCCTTTCTGCCCTCCTAGTGTGTGGGCGCTGTCCCCTCCGGAATTCGCCTCCCGCCTCCCCTGTCAGCCCCGGGGTCCCACCTCCGCCTTCCAGGGCCAGCCCCGAGGCAGGTTCTCAGGCTCCCTCACTCCCTCCTCGCTCCCCCCCGCCCCCCGCCGGCGGCACCGCCCGCACGTGGTCACTTGCCCTCTGTCACTCCCGGGGCCCCGTGGGCCCAGCAGGTCCCGCCGCGCCCCCGCCCCCGGAGCCCCCGTTCCCGGACATCTACGGCGGGGACGCGCAGCTCTGGGCGGCGCACTTCCGCGGCATCGGGCGCGCCTACCGCGCGCTGGGCAAGGAGGACGACTTCGCCATCCGCGTGCTCACCGAGGACTTCACGCTGCCCTTTCCGTTCGCCTGGCCGCCAGGGCCCGACCCCGCCCGCGGGCCGCTCTTTTACGACCCGCACGACCGCGCGGGCTTCGACTTCCTGCTGCGCGGCCCGGGCGCGCCGCCCCCCGCGCTGCTGCGGCCCCT